ATTTATAGATAGATTTATAGATAGATAGATAGATAGATAGATAGATAGATAGATAGATAGATACATAGATAGATAGATAGATAGATAGATAGATAGATAGATAGATAGATAGATAGATAGATAGATAGATAGATAGACTAACCAATCACGTCAGCCGGGGCGGACGTTTGCACTGTTTTGAGAAACACACGGGCGCCGCCGCCGCAACCAGCAATCGACAGATGCTGCGGGTGAATTTTAATAAGTGCCTTCCGCGAATCCGTCGCCACCAGCGCGTGCTGTTTGAGCAATATGCCATCCTATAATCGAAGCATGAACTACGCATCAACAGTGTAGGGCTCATTTAATGGTCTCCTTGTGTAATTAATTTGTTAGGAGGTGTAACTATATTATAGGGTGGTAACAACCGAGTATTAGTTATAAAGCCCACCCAGAGTTGGCGCAAACCAACGCAAAAAGGGTTAACATCCACAGATGTTTCGCAAAAATGGAACGGTTGCCATTTACGATGTACACTTCTCATGGAGAGCGACTAGTTGTTCAGGAAAGAAAAATAATGTTCTTCGTGTTACAAGTGCCACTGCTGTTCAAAAATAAAAAGAAAATTGTCTGGTCTCTTACGCATTTGTCCAAGACAACACGAAGAAAAAAATCCATCCATCTTATTGCAATAGCAATCATATGCACAGTCTCGGCTGGTTGTTTGTCGTCATGGCCGCCGTCATTCACCGAGCATATATATATATATATATATATATATATATATATATATATATATATATATATATATATATAAATATATTAATATATATATATATATGTGTGTGTGTGTGTGTGTGTGTGTGTGTGTGTGTGTGTGTGTGTGTGTGTGTGTGTGTGTGTGTGTGTGTGTGTGTGTGTGTGTGTGTGTGTGTGTGTGTGTGTGTGTAAACTCAAGAATGACAAAAAAGTCCCAGCTTTGCCGGAAAGGCGAAGCAATGAACGCGATAGCAACGAATTTAAAAGTCACGCGCAGAGTTGAAAGCAGATCGAAACATGCCCCACGTTCCTCACGCACAAATGACGCTCAAAACGTACTCACAGATACGGATGCACGCGAATAAGCGTCTCGTTTGTTACTGTGCTGTGTCTGAAAAAGCATGTGCTTTTCGCAAACGGAGACTCCAATGATTGCAGTGACCTTTGTGCACCAGGTAACTACAGCAGAATCGTTCCAGGTAAAAGCCCGAGGCCAGCCAATGCATACGACCTTCCCCTCCTCGCCACCGCGAGATAAGGGCGCGTGAGGGAGCTCAGCGGGCACCGCCACGCACTCTTTGCGCCATCTGGCTGGTAATGCTGGAAACAGAATCCCCCCCCCCTCCCGAGATACTCGTGAGCAGCGGTAAGTGGCAGATATAAGTAACTTGCCGTTTGAACGGTGAAGGATGTGCTCCGGGGTGGCTCAGTGGTAAACGCCTCGCTTTCACGGCGCAGAGGTCCCACGTTCGATTCCGCACGCCGGAATGTTGTAAATATGATAGTCCTTCTTGGGGACCTTCGACGCAGAAATTTTGGCTTGTCTGTCTGTACATTTGTCTGTTTGTCTAATCTTAACGGCACCGGGTACTTGAAACGGCCGACCCCATCCGCAGCGCCCCCCAATGTTGCTAAATATTTAGCGTTCAAACTTGTGCAATCGTCAATTAAAAAGCAATTATCGCGCATGTCTGGGGCACCATAATAACACATATATATTCTGCACGTGCGTTTTTACTAGAAAAGGCATACATAAGTAATTTTAATGACCGTAGCGCTTATCACGCTGCGCTGTCCATGCGACGCTTGCACGAAAAGGCGAGTGTTTCCAATGCTTTGCTAAGACGAGACGGTGGTGGCACCTACCCGTCGCCTTGCGTTCTAGACCTTATCACCTCACCCGTCTCAAAGCCACGCGCTTCGTTTTCCAAGAAAACTGCCAGATGGCACTCATGTCTCACGTGTGACATGACTTGATGCACTCGTCCACTTCCGCTGCACGCTCGAGGCACTCTAACGCAGCGCCTCCAGAATACCATTCGCTGTTTTTCTTGCACAGAACATCAAATAAATGTTTTGTTCACTCTCTCCAGACGCAAGACAATCGTCTTTCGTCGACGACATTTGCAGATTAACATGCGAATACGGGGCCAATTTTTTGTGGGTTTTTTCTTTCTTGCGTTTTCATTATATATATATATATATATATATGTGTGTGTGTGTGTGTGTGTACTGTGCTGTAACGTCATGTTACAGCACAGTAATGGGATGACGTCATCATTATGTGACGTCACCCAGTGACACTGTTATATGACGTGACAGTAACGGGATTTGACGTCACCCTGCGACATCATCCATTGGCATCATCGTTGCTGAGGTGGACAAAGAATGACTACACAACACAACCGCTGTGATCCGCGAAAGATTGGCAGATCTCACATACAGTGGGAATCGATGATGTGTGAAGTACCAACGAGGAAGGTTGATATGTCACTTTAAAATCAGCACGGCTCGAGGTGGACGTCAATTATGCCGCACATGACTTCCATGTCATGATTATCATGGTTGCACCTGGAATTTATGTGCTTCGCCCATTCAAGTCACGTAATACCACATTTGGTATGTTAAGCTAGCAAAACGACCGCAAGTACGCTATGAGCGTAGCATTGTGGTGCTTTACATAACATGCATGTCATGATTATCATGCTTGCACCAGTGATATACTTTCGTCACCTATTCACGTCACCTAATACCAGATATGGTATACGTGAAGCTAGCAAAACGACCGCGAGTACACGATGAGTTTGGCATATAGTCATGATTTACATTACATGCATGTCATGATTTTTATGTTAGGGCCTATAGCTTATGTTTTCATGCAGTCATGCCACACAGTACCGGTTTCCTAATATGTCATGTGAATGAAACTAATGCAAGAGCAGAAAGACCATGACATGTAAATCATGACATACATGCCATGATTTTTATGTTACGACTAGTCACTTATGCTCGTCGTGCAGTCATGTTATGCCATACCGATTTCGGTATAGATCCTATTATCGTAACGGCTAAGAGAGCTAAAAGTCGTAGGTGGCTGGATAGGTAGATAGAGACAGATACAGCCAAAGGCGTCGAGGTTCGCTAAGAAATGCTTCGCACTTAATATTTATTATTAGCGAAAATACAATTCAGCTCATGAACATATAAGCACAATACATATTATAAATATAAGGTAAAATATGCGAAAGTGTAAAGGTGGAACTTCCAAGGCTTTTCTACTTTTTCGCCTTTAGGGCCCTGCAACACTTTTCTGCATGGTCAGAAAAAACTGCAAATCTGTAGTCGAGGTTTTAGAGAACATGCGTGCCTAACAATATGGTGAAGCATGCGGCCTGGAGTTTACAATCGATCCTAAGAGTGAGCTAGAAATCATTCCTACTAGCACTTATGCTGTGCTGCTTACTCCGTGCCAAAGTGTGCGCTATTCAAATCACATTATATATCAAAGAGCCCAAGCTACTCTTTCGAATTCGCTTATTTCCTTGGCGGAAGTGCTGAGCAACTTTACCGAGTAACACACAGTTTTAACACACAATATTTATCAGAAATCTAGATATTTTTTTGTCTGTGTAATTCAATCAACAATACACTTCATTCACTCGTTTAAACAGAACCACAAATTTCCTTCACTTTGGTTTACTTTGAAAATCCCAACTCAAGTGCTTTTGGCTTAGACTTACCTACTGCCCTGTTCCAGTCTTTCAGTAAAATAATATCTAGGGCTAAATCTCCTTCTCAACTATCCTATTTACAAGACTTTAGGCCAATCCATTTTATCTAAATGCGAAATATGAAGTTGGAGGTTCGACATACAAATGAAACCGAAACTAGTTTCGGCTGTAAGGGCTACTTACAACTGAAACCAACACAAACGAGAGATTAGGTTCGCTGTTGCATAGCTACATGTTTACATTCCCGCTCTACCGAAGCATATACCGTATTTTCTTGTGTACGATTTGCACGATCAGCAACAGCTCGCGGAAAATTTTCTGATTCCTTTTTAACGGAAAGAAGAATCCCCTCCTTTCTGAGCTGTTGCACGGTAGCACAAAAGTAAACGTCAAAGATTTGGCCATGCATTTTAGGGAGGGTCACGCATGTTAACAAAAGCCAGAGAGGACTATGAATTTGATTGATTGATTTGTGGGCTTCAACGGGAGCCTTCAAAAAGGTCGAGCTAGCTTTACAGAATAGCTTTCATGCAGAGTCATGAAGCCATCTTTTTTTATTTTGTCATGCAATTTTAGGTGGGTCCACCAACAAGCGTGCAGGTACGGTACATCAGTTGGTTTGCTTAGTTGTGCATAATGCAGAAAACAAGTCGCAAGCACAAATATTCCCGAAGGGTTTAATGAAATCGTGTACCAAAACTGGTAGTTGACTTTGTGGATTCTTATAGGATAGCTACCTTGAAGACTATTTGGCAACAATTCTGAGAACAATGCAGAATTGCTAGATGCTACCAAAAAAATCATGACAAAGTACAGCCGAAAAAAGCGGCCCGACTTTAGCAAAGATCCCCAAAAGAAAGAAATATTTAATAAATTCCCTTACTTAAGCAAATATTTTAAATAATATTTAAAAATGTAACTCATGTCAATCAAGAGAAGTTCAAAAATTCACTTCAATTATTTGGTGCTGCAAAAATATGTGCGACTACAAAAGAAAGTACATATTCACTTCGTAACATTGTCCCCGGTGTAGTGTCCATTTGGAGGAATCCACATTTTCCAAAGGTTGATTAACCTTACTACTTCATTGTTAATTCCCCCAACGCATGTTTGAATTTAACACTCAACTACACAACGTCGTCGACAAATGCATTATTCATGAACGAATAATCGCCAATTATATTTGCTACAAAAATGCAAACAAGTCCGCCCAAAAAATGTGACAAGCAAGCAGAAAACTTTACAAGCAACTAGGCAGAAAAAAAAGCCAAATACATTTATTATAAGCAGAACCAGCGACTCCGATCTAATACATTGATGCCCATTCTTTTCAGCTAAGGAAAGTACTTTAGAGGGAGACGACGCATAAGGCACGAAAAAAGTGCTTTTATTTATAAAGCCTGCACAATAAATACCCACGAAGTCACAAAATCAAACGGCTATTCACATTCACGCGCGTCTTTTTCAGCAAGCTGTCAACTTCAGAAGGCAGTGCTCACACACAAGACGAGAATGTTTAAACGGGCACATAGAAACACAGGGCATAACCAATCACTGAATTGTACTTACGAAAAACTAGCATTCCGACCTGCAACATCTAAATGTGCCTGTTTGTGTTGCACGAACTGTGCTCCGACATAAATGTTGGTTCAAAGGAAAAGCTCCATTATCTGGCACTACCCGACATTGAAAATATTTTTATTCATTTCGTCGCTGTCCCACGCTAGCTCCACATGTTAGAAGAAAAGTGAGAACTGCCCTTTCAACAAGGTTACCATGACAAACCAAACATGATGGTGCAGATTTCCAGGCCTTGCCATCTACTATTAAATTACATTAGGTGACCTTAACAACCCATTTCATGTCACCTTACAAGGGTCCTTGGCTGCATTAGAGTCAAAAGAGAGTACATCCAACTCCTTGGCAAATAAAGCGCGGCAGCATGTTAAACTCTCTGTAGCACTCAAAGATAAAGGCCTGCGGCCCACTTTGTAATGTGGCGAGTTATAAAAATAGAAACGAGACTTCTTGCAAGATGTAACAAGCCGCATTGTGAGAGACTGCAGTGCGAGAGTCCCAAAAGTGTCCGACTCCCAACAGTGTCCTGTACTCGACGCCAAGTTTCACACAACCTCTGCCATCAGCTCACTTTGCCTAATTCAGATTGCCATGTGATGACATCGTACAATGACGTTACATTTGAGGCATTAAGACATCATCGTACAACAAAGCATTGACGTCGCATATATCGGCGATCTGCGATGTCACCACATGACACCATTGATGATGTGGGACATCAGAAATCTTTTAGCACCTTTTTTGCCTGCCATGCCTCGCTCAAAGTCATCGTGCGATAAGCCACTGAAGGCCTTAAAAAAACAGTCCTTCGTGCATTTAAAGGTTAATTACAAATTTTATAAGAAAGAAACGGCGCAAAAGACAACATCGCTGTTGTATGTGCCCTTCTTTGCCTGGTTTCTCGTCTTTTGCACTGTTTCCCTCTAATATGGCACACCAACATGCCCAAGCAACCACTTTAGCTATAATCACAAGTATATGATTATGCATAATGTATCCCCCTTTAGAATGTCAAACCTCCATGATTTCCAAGCAAAAAACCTTCTCTCGTCTCCTGCTTGCACTCGAGCCAATAATGAGTTTTTCTACAAAATTTTCTCCCTTTATCTATGGCTGGCTAATGAATAGAGAAAACTTTACTTAGGTGAAAACCTGGAACTCTCACGCAGGTCTCTCATTACAGTGCACATAAATTCAAGTGCTTCGTTACATACTCGAGCCCTCAGTTTTCATGATACTACTGAACTGGCCTTATACAATCACCTGTTTTCAATATATTTAGAAGTTGAATTTTTATACCACAAACTTTTTGCCTTTTTGAGCAAAGAGAGAAATAGGCTATTTCGTTTCTTAAACTTCAAATTTTCACAAAAGCAGAACCAGAGTATGCACCAGATGTCAAACAACTGTACTTTTACTGTCTGCATCATCGTTTCAAATAGACCCAATCTGGTCATATGAATACACCAGGGCCAAAATGAAGGCACGTACACCAAAGTCAAAATGGAGTTGCTTCTGAAAAGCCTCATCTTCATCACGAAGCGAAATGCATGGCTGCGCGTTAGTATAATCTAATAATTCATACAAAACATTCTCATTGCAATAGGCAACCGCCGCCACCCACGAGAACTTCTCGCACAAGCGAGTTCACAATGGGGCTTCAAGTCGCGAGAACGCGTTGCTGTATAGTGAGGAACCTAACATTGACGCTTGAGTTCTAGTGGCCTCGGAGTCGTGAACTTGGCTATGACATCAGTCGGTGACAGCTTTCCTGGCAGTTTGGTGGTCAGCGATGAGCTTCTGCAAGATGCCAATCAGCTCCTTCTTCAGGTGGCCCGTCAACAGCTCTCCACTAGTGTAATCCTGAAAAAGCATGCCGAGGACACCCGATGTTAAAAGTACGCCCAGCAGAGACGAAACTGCCCCACAACTTACTGACTGGCAAGTTCTCATGGTGAAGTATGAAGTGCAAATTGGCCCTCCTTCATTCACACACACTTCGCAGAATATGTTTTTAGGGCCGAGCACATTTTTCTTTGTGCTCCCGGCCAACCTCCTTGGTTCATACGATCTTTGAATTATACATTCGATTTTCCACTTCTCATGAAGAACGAATCGAAGAGATTGCACTGTACTCGCCGTTACTTCTCCTACGTACAGCCCTCTATGTGGGGGTGGTCTCCACCACGCGCACCTATGCTCGAGACCAACCACCCCATGCAGCACTGTACGTGGGGGTGGTCTCGACCACGCACGCAAACGCTTAGGACCACGCCCTGTATTTGAGAAGGTGGGCTCGACCACACTAACAAGTACTCAAGACCACATCCCACATACAGCACTATAAGTTCGTACACTTAGTACACTTACACTTGCTGCTGCTGCTAAAGACTCAAATGCGTCGCCAACACAGTTGCACGTGCTTTTGTCATGTGACGTGGCAAACAAGTCGCACTCTGCTGATAGATTGTGGTCCTCCTCGTGGTAGTAAATGATCGAGAAGTTACTAAGGACGAAGCTCCTAAAGGCGTGCGTCTGTCCATCCCTTGTTTGTACGTGACCGCCTATAGTTCCACCTTTGCAAACTGCCCACTAATTCGTCCCTGCAAACATCTCGCTATGCACCCCGTCCCCGATCCACCACTTCACCGACAATAAAGCTGTTATAATGAAGGGGAAATAGGAAGTGATGTATAGCTACAACTTACTGGATAATAAAATTTCTTGTATAAATGATTTACAGTCAAACCTCCGTTATAACAAAGTGTAAGGGGGAGTCATAATTACTTTGTTATAAACCATTAGTTCCTTACAGGCAATATCCATTTCTACCGTGAATTGACCAGCAAGAGAGAATGTACTTGCCAACGAATATCACAGTTACACTCTACTGCGAACGAAAACAACCTTCGGAAGGCAAAAAACTAGCCAAATAATAAAAAACAATGCACTTTATTGACAGATCACTTCGAAGAAAAGCTGACAGATCACTTCGAAGAAAAATAGCCCTCAACAGACTTTTGCCGACGCTTTCCTCACGTGGAATTACTGCTTTTTCAGCTGCAGCAGCTATTAGGAAATCTGTCCTCGCCATCATCATAAGCACCAAATAAGCGGCACAGCACTTCTGTCGAATCCAGCTGTTTGCGCGGGCGTTGGTATGTCGGATTCACCAACATTAGGCTCCGGGGTGTTGACACATTTTTCACGCACACCCGTCACCACGTTCACAATTTCTGCATGTGACAACTCTTCAGCTGCCACCGTGTCAGCATCGGCACCAACATACACGCAGAAAGTGTTGCAGTCAGGCACAATGCCGGCGTCAAAGTGAGCGTCCCACAACGTCTGGGCCTGGTCGCCCGCGGCACCCACATATCGCCGAAATCTTCGGCCACTTTTTTTTTTATCTTCGGCCAGACTCAAGGGCTTTCAACATATACGACTTCTGCTCGATTGTTATATTTTCGCGCTTACGTTTGCCACTGCCGTTTTCCATCTCGTGTCTAGCGGCAGAAACTGACAGAGGTGGTGGGACTCTTCCACAGCAAACGACAAAGAAGAAAGCCATAATCTCCACCGCCCCAGCGGCGTGCGAAAGCTGAAGGGAAGAAGGAGGTCAGATGCGCGGGCGGGTCAACGAGTTCTACAGCTTGGTAGGAAGCGCAGCCCCTATTACACAGAACACACAACACAAGCGCTTGTGTTGTGTGTTTTGTGTAATAGTGGCTGCGCTTCCTACCAAGATGGATTAATACCAACTGACCCAATACAGTTGTTTATTGAGTTCTACAGGACAGGAGAGGCCGGCTGACACGCACGCTCGCACGAGTTGCTGCGCGGGCGAGTACATTATCTTCAGAAGAGAAGGAAGCAGGGAGACTCGCTCACACACGCGTGCTGGCAAGCGACTCCCGGGAAGCAAAAGGGGCAAGTTTTGAATTACCGCAGCCGTGATGAGACGTAAACCGCCGCGCGCTGTAAGATATTGCAGAATTCACGTATACCAAAAGTATCAGTAAATGCTCATTGTGGACGAAGAATAATTCATTATATCCATTGTGGGGAAATTTTGGTTCATTAAAACGAGGCTTTAAATACATGGGCGTCTATGGGAATTTCAAGGAGAACTACAATTGCTTCGTTATATCCATCAGTTCGCTATACCCCACATCTTTATAATGAGGTTTTACTGTACAGTGTTTGTCACGTCTTTGATGATGTAGTGGGTGATATTCGCGGATGGTCCATAGGTTTAGCCATGAAACACTCCAGCGCTTCGCCCCACTCATCTTCATTCACTCCATAGATATACTGTGATTTTTTTTTTCTATTTTAACTGTGCAGGCCATTTAGAAACCCGGGTTGTGGTTTATCTCATATTGCACGCTAGTTGTAGCTGCCAATAAAGGCCTAAAACAAGGCTCGCAGTGCTCAGAACCAATGAAAATTATCTAACAAGATCCAAAACAATACAAACTACAAAAATAACCAATAACAAATAACCTACCTAAAATTACGAGAACACTTCAGTTTGCCAGCCCCTACTAGCAAAATTGGTTGTAGACATGAAAAATTATTTTTTTTTGGTGTAAACAAAATTTACAAAAATATTTCTACGTCACCAGAGAAGACGTAGGAGTAAATGATGCACCCTCTTGTACATTTTTATCCCAACGGCCTCGATGCTTAATTTACGAGTGATTATCGCAAAAAATTCATTTTTTGTCAACTATTCAAGCGCATTTCACAATAGAAAAGCTGTTGAAATGAAACAACTACATCTTGTGTTACTGGTATTGTAACTTGACACTGCATCCCTGTCCATCTCTCAGTAAACAAAACTCCTAAATGCACTTAGGTGGGCGTGTTCGAATCAATGCACACTCAGAAAATCTGTATGAAAACGACAGAGACACACGACACATCCTGTGAGTGTGTGTCTAGTTTTTGTGCTGGTCTTGGTTGAATGCATAGTACTTACACAACAGTGCAAAAGAGGGGGCTACGGAAATAGGAGACCGCGTTGTGCGTCTTCCCTTTCTTTAGTCTCATCTATGGCGCAGTGATTTAAGTACAATGCAAAGGTAATGCTGGCCCTGACCAAAGCAGTCGATTTGAAATTATGCAGATTTCAAATGGACTGAAGATCAGAGAGAAATGACAGTACATGTCTTGGTCTGCCCTAAATTGTTTCCTTTTGATCCCCAAACATTGTTACAGTGGCTCGAGGTGGAGGTGTCAGCAACAACGCGCAGAAGAGGCAGCGTTTTTCTTGAATGATATTGCATCTCAGAGCCGACAGCAGTGCCGCTGCATCGGCGCTATTCCTTAATTAAGTTCAAGCACAAAGGCGTCTCAGAGACGACAGCACGCCACAAATTTTCTCGTGAAAAAGTGCTGCGACAAACTGCATGGTACAGCTCCTTCGATGCTGACTTGTCTTTCCCTAGCCACCACAGCACTGCACACAGTGTTCTAGAAGCACGACACTATGAAATGATACTACTAGGGCAGTAGTACTACGGTAGTAGCATAATTATAGTACCAGAACATGCCCTTCAATAGAAACACAACATACCTTGCGGATCTGCTCTAACTTCTTGTCATCATCGAGGAAGAAACGAAGATACTGGTACGATATGTCCACATCACAGTTGCCTCCTTTCTCCTTGTGTTCCTCAATGGTTGCACCACCTCCAGAGAAGGCATACTTGTTGATCTGATAGCATAAGTGAAAAAAAAAGTTCATTTGTGTTTTCTCATGCTATATTGAAGATGTCTCAACAATACCAACATGTGGTGTGACATGCTGGCAAGCCTAACATCCAGACAATAACCTAACAGCGAACATAGGGTTATTGTTTTGCACGATTAGCTTTGCTTCTTATTTACCCACCGCAACGGTCTAGTGGTTATGATACTTGAGTGCTGACAAAAAGGTCATGGGATCAAGTCCCAGCCGCAGCAGTCACAATTTGATGGAAGCGAAATGCCAAAGGACGTGTGATTATAGATTTAGGTGCCCGTTAAAGAACCCCCAATGATCAATATTTCGAGAGACGCTGTAGCCATCCGCTACAGTGTCTCTCATAATTATGCTGTGGTTTTGAGTCATACAATCTGAACAACTATAAGCTTACATTGCGACTCTGCACTACTATCTCCAATGACGGTAAAACTTAAAATGTTTGTATCATCTCCAATATTTGACCACTTGCAACGAACCATAGGCACAACATCAAACAAAATAGAATAAGGCCTTTTTATTTATCAGCAGTGGTATTAACAGCAAAGTTGTGTACGGTCAAGGCAAATCCCTGGGGACCCGTCATTTGCACTTTCTAGCCCAGCTGCAAGAGTAAAGCTTGACCACAGGGAGAGCATAGGAAAAGCTAGTTTGTTCAGAGGGAAGCCTAGAGTAGAGCCTGGCAGAAAGAGGGTGGCAACGTGGTGAGGGTGAAGCGGGGTAGAGAGGTTAGCAAAAGCCAAGCCAAGCGAGACCAGAGCAGCTGGAGTGGAGAGTGAGGACCGGCTGATGACCATTCAGGATAAGCTGAGGGTCTCGCATTAGTTCAGGAATGTCTGCCTTGCATCACCTCAAATTTAACTGATATGTTCAGCAACAACCAATGCCACCTGCTCTGCTACTCAATGCGCCTCCGCAACGTTGAGGCAGTTAAAGCGGTGCATAACTCTGTCAGGGGTCTAGGGGTATCACTTGGTCATCTACCAAAACCAGAGCCCACGTCACGCTTGCCAGCTACCATTGGGAAGTCCGCACTGCTGTCAAACCTTTCGTGTTACCTCAACCACTTCATGACACTGCTCCACTCCCACACTTGTACGCTGCCCTCGCACCACATTGTTTCCCTCTTGCCCCCTACCTAGCCTCGCCCCCCCTCCCCAAGACCATGCAACACTACTCTCGCAACCCCTGCCACCTCACAACTTTTTTGACTGGCTGTGTGGACATTGAAACACCAAATAAATCAATTCGTCGATCAATTTCAAGTAAGCACTTCCCAGGAGCTCACCTTGTTCTTGATCTGAGCAGGGGTGTCAGTGAGGAATATCGACGAGTTGGGGTCGCTGGCACTCATCTTGCTCTGGGCCCCTTGCAGTGCTGGGAAGAACACCGAGTGCAGCAGTGCAGGTTTAGGGTAGCCCAGTTTGGGCGCCACGTCTCGCGTCATTCGGAAGTAAGGGTCCTGAAAGACAGCAAGGATCACACGAGTAAATGTCAATCAATCGCTGTGAGTCAAGCTAAGCCGTATCAGATTTATCGCTGAGCAACAATCGACAGTTCCTTGAGTCAACAGAAAAAAAACAGTAGGCGAAAACCAATGCTCTCAATACTTTTGACGTCCTTACTAGACAGCATTGTTTCACCTACCCTCTCAATAAAAAAAGCTCGACAGAATGCTATTGTTTCACCTACCCTCTCAATAAAAAAAGCTCGACAGAATGCTAACTGGAAGTAGGAAATATTACAGCAGATTCTCATTAAACGGAAACTGAAGAGACCCTGAAATTATGCTCCATTTAACAGGAGTTTCGTTTATTGAAAGAGGAGTATTGGTGCAGAACAGAAGCATGAAACGAATCATATCAGATGCAGTTCTTCCATCCAATCAGGAATTCGGTTAAAGAAATTTCCGTTTCCTAAGAGTCTACTACGTTGCCGAAAGTTTCCACGACAAATATGAACTGTAACAAGCCTACAAAATTTATTTGGTGTATTCGAAATAGCAATAGATTACACAGTGTTCTATAACAGGTTACAAATTGGAACTTAAACCGCAAGTCAGGGTTCACAGTATAAAAACCCACTAATTGTCAGCATTCATGGCTGCTCATACATACTACAGCAGTGCAATTTTCTTTTTTTCCCCCACTCTCTGGCAATCTCCTCGCAGTAGTGTCCTGTTGGGGAAGGCGACAGCAGACTGTTAAAAGCTTAACTCTTTATCAGGCTCAGGAAATGAAAGGTCAAAGTACAAGCAATACATGCTGTTGCAATACATATTGATGGTGGCAAGCGCAATCATTGGCCGTCGACTTATTTTATGATCGACAGAACACATCTTTTGTGCACAAGTTAGTGACTATACCATAACTACAGCCGATGCTTGCATTTGTTCCACAACAAACTCTGCTATTCGTGTCAAGCATACAATCATATCAGAATAGTTTGAAACAATCGAGAAGTTTGCTTCACATAGCAGCATGGCCTGCGCCAAGCAGTAGTAAATGCTTTTGTGCGCGAAACCCGATCACATTAAAATAAAAAAAAAATTGCATGCACCAATAATTGTTTTGCACCATTACATCGGTCTGTTGCACTTGTACGAATTGATGGATCGGCTTTGTCATCGTATAGAATTAATCTAGAACAAACTATGTTGACTGTAATTACATCATTTCCCATTATGAGGGCAAAAGCCTCAGATGCATCGTTAACGCTAAATATGACCGGCGGCACCCCACTGTGTAGGGAATGATGGCTGCGAAAAATCCACCCGCGATGATGTCACAGGTTACCGAAATTTGTGATGTCATCTTGCGGCTCGGTCAAAGGAGGTTCGACCACAAAGGCCATGCCAAACCGTGTTAGTTCCAGAAAGCTTTGAAAGGGTGGCGGGGGAGCATCAGTACATTGACTGAGATGAGAAAACAAAAATGGCTTTCACCTTCGAGTCGTCTAATATGAATGCATAAGAGACACCGTCAGTTTTATGTAGCACATACTGCTATTCATCTTCTACATATGCTTCCGTTTTGTGCCCCTTTGAAGCCTCAAGTGCGATCAGTGTATAATGCAGCTAGAGCTACTCGAGCCACAAGCTACTAGTAGTTGTTCCGTAGTCATTTACAGCAAATTTGTTTAATTAGTGCTGTCCTCCTAACAGTAGTAGTACTAGTAGCATCGTGCAGGTCACGCCATCAAAAGTAAGCGTGAAAGAAATAAGCGAAATGATGCTCGATCCCACAGGTCCAATGGTATCCCTCGGCCCAATCAAGGGTAAGCACGCATACTTGAAATCTCGCAGCCCATTTGTGACACCCCATAGCTTCACCAGCCATTACATACAATCAAGTGCTTGCTGTCCAATGGTGCTGTAATTTTCTTGCACTAACAATTCTCACAGATCCAGACACTCACCTGGTCAATTCCACAGGGAATCAGACAGGGAACACGACTATTCTCTCCGAAGATGAATGGAAAAGACGAACTCAACGCCGGTGCGGCCTGGACAGCTGGGAAGCTAATCTTTCCAATGGAGTCACTGTCCCCGAATCCGAAGATGCCCTTGACCTGGTTGAAGGTGACACCTCGTCGTATTCTCACAATGTTCTTGTAGAACTCGGGACACCTCCTATATTAGAAAAGAACAAGAAAGAGAACAAGGAAATGTACTGCATTTACATAATTCCAAGACACACACAGTCACTTCCGGTTTAAGCTTGGCTGAATATTTTCAAAGAGTGATAAAGTACCACACAGATGAAATTCCCTAATAAAAGAGAAATCGTATACTCATAACCTCGATAATGAACCTGAACATAACGTAATATTGGTTACAATGAAGTAAACAAAAAATAGTCTTCCAACGGATATAGTGCTAGCAATAAACCTGTATAATAAATTTTCAGATATAACTAACTTATTTTTGTGTATGATGCAACTTTGTTATTATGAGGTCTGAGTGTAAACTGAAACTTTCACTTTTGCTAGAAATGTAAATGTTACACCAACTCACCCCACGAACTGAAAGTCAGTGAAGATGAAAGTCTTTGCAGGATCGAAGCCGCACGCAATGATGTCTCGCATGTTCTCGTGAGCCATTTTCTCCGCATCCTCCACAGGTCATGTCTTTCCATAGGAACTTTTCGTCATCAGTGAGCTGGATTACCAGTGGGACATCAAAGGTGTCCTGAAGCCACCTGTAAAACATAGTAGAAATGCAGTCACTACTGTGTAGCTGTAGTAAGACACTTTTCCTTAAAGCTAACCATTCACAAGACCTTCAGCTCTGCAGTGGCAAATGAACAGCTTACTGTATCCGATCGTACTAGCAGCCATTTGCCTACTCAAATATAGTTGACATCTACACAATTTTCCAGTATGTTTGCGTAAATGTGAACTAAGACCACATATTTATGCAATAGCAATTGCATAAATATAAGCGAAGCAGTGTCTACGAAGTTTCATAGATGTCGTTTTTGCTGTATCCACAACAGATGTCACACACAATAGTTGCACAAATGTCATCATAAAGACAAGAACGAGGCTTCTTAGACGTTAACTTCTTCTGCCAATAACACATATGTCATTGCGTAAGCGTCATCCACATAACTTTCTACACAGTCACGTAGATGTAAACTAGTGTATGTTAACTGCAGACGTCAGTCACTATAGGAGTTGTGTAGGCACCATCTGTGAAACTACAGTCGATGTCCATGTAGCACTGGGCAATGAGTGAACCGTAGCAGAACAAGACACGAACATGCGTAGAACTACAGAGGCGCACGGTGAAATTTAAAGATGTCACACATTTTGGCGTTACTCAACCCACTCAAGTTTTCATGCCGTCATAATCGCTCTGAGACTGGTGTGTTCTTCTATGGCGCTGTCAGCAGGATCGGCGCATCGAAATGAACGAGCCAATCTTGGAGATCATGCTATTCTGAACTGTCTTTACCCTGCAAGACTGATGTACTAGTGATAACAAGCCAAGAAATCAAGCAAAAGTGGCATATTCTTGGTTGAAGAACTTAGGCTCTCGATGGCACTATATTTCTGACATTGCCATACACAATGCAGGAAGTATTGCACAATAAAACAGACTAGAAGGTGGCCAATACTAGGCAGTGACCCAGTGAATCAATTGCATTAACTAAGAATTTAAAGTACGAAACCTGGATGAGCTGTGTTCATGTGAAAATGCGCAAGTATACCATCTGCTAACATCAGTCACTTAATGTGCGCACAGTTTCCGTCGTCATTATTTTATCACACAGCAAAATACTGGAACAGCCTTTCCATACTACATCGCTGCCATGGGCTCTTGATTTGCATTTACGGATGAAGTAACAATGTGTGACGCAAAAAAACACCTATTTCGTGATTATTTTTTCTTTAGTCCACCTCTCATATAACACTAGCCTCTGAAGATATCTAAAGGTAATAAACAGAAATTAAGGTTTTCGTAGTTCCTTTTCACTGCAGAATAGTCTCTCTATGAACAGAAGCTGCAGGGACAAAGCAGATATGTTTCGTTAAACAAGAGTTAAACAGCATATTTTCAAGCCTGTGCCCATCTATTCTTTTCTGTTGTCCAGTCTCGTTGCGCTACCCTTGATGGTTTTTATTACCAAACACCGACTCGCCCAACAGTAAACTCTTTTAAAGGAGTTCTGCAACTAATAAATGAACTGGGCTGCAACATTCAGGTACAAAACCAATCCTATTAGAGCCAGTTGTTTCGCTCACACAGCAATTTTATTTAATGCTGTAAATCTGCTGTATTCAAGTAAGGCTAGGACGATAGCCCACCACCTGCTTACGGGCTGGAATCAAACACATCTTCACACATTTCATCGAGCAGCGCAGCTGAAAACAAATGTTACGCACATGGCGAAAACATCCAGGCATGTGTGCTAGGCTGGTCAACAATGACAACAATGACCGCAGCGAACAATGCAGTGCCTCGACCGCCGCTCGAGTCGCACTGCCAACAAAAAAGTTTAAAAAATAACAATAAGTTTGCTGTGATGACAATGCCCTATTACACAACACTGCCTTCGACTGTGCCTACTTGGCTACGCATCAGCCACAAGGCCTGCCGATGTGGCAGACTCGCGCGAGTTTCGTTCAGTTTTAGAGCGAGCTTTTTCCTTCAGTGGAGCTGTGCGCAGGACTCTGACGACACAGCAACATGTGGCGTGTTCTGGAGACAACAATGCGTCAGGTGAGAGCGTCGTCCCCGGCAGTTACTGCGCACATTGCTCAAGCCGCGATCAATGAAACGGATGTACAAAAAATGAACCGGAAGAGAGAGCGTTGGCAAGCAGATTTGCAATACTGCTTTTCGCAAACGTCGATGAGGCAATGGTTGGAAAATACAGAATGTTATACCGCATTGTGAATACAGCCCGAAACTGAAACCAACCTATCGTACACTTTGGAAGTGTTAGAAAGCTAGAATTTAGGGCTAAGTAACGGACATACTTTAGTTCCTGGAATGTACAGCTTGCGTCATATCCGTATTGTTTTTACTCAAATACTTTCATTAAAGCCAACATTACTTTCAGTGGCCAGAATTGCACCGACACGATGCTGTTTTCATGAGAAATCGTTCATAGCAATCTCATACTAAAAGAAGTCTCACGTTTCAATTCGCAAGTGCTGTACACGGTATATTACTGCACATGCCAAGTCAATGAAGGTCCGTGGATCCTAGATATGACACACGAGTGGCAGAAATAGACTGACCAAATCTAAAGCTCTTAAGCAAGGCTCGAGCCACAAGAGATGCCAGCTTAGATGTGCAAAGGCTATTGATAAACGTGAAACTGAGTTAATAAAAACAAGCATTTTACTTTCCATCGTAAAAACGAACCTGCGTTTGTGGTTCGAAATCGAGCCTACAATCATCTCGCCAGTAAAATGCTCCATCTAATATCACCTTCACTCGGTTTATTAATAATGACAATGTCTTTAATGGCAAAATTAGGGACCACGTCAAATTGAATCAAAAGGTTTGTGGTCTCCAGAGCATTAGCTGCTGGCTGTTCTGCATTAGGAATTAAAGAACGTAGAAAAGACAAAATTGCCAGGTGTTACCTAGACTATTGATAAGTATTTGATCAAAACGAGAGTTCACAGGATCACAAAAGCACTGTAGCACTTGTCTTGCCCTATAGAGAGATTAAAGCCATCCATCCTTACTACAAACATTCCATGTACCCTCTCATAATTATAGTTGGTTCTTTTATAGTTATAGTTGGAAGGGCTGCTAACATTGCCTATAATTGGTTCTTCAAAATCTTATTTGTTTTTTCGGCACACTTAATCACTGCTTGATACTATCATTGGCATGATTACCTATTCACCACAGTGCCCAACAAAGCGGAATTAAGGTGCTCTTCCCCAATTGCAAAATAGGGTGGCAAGCAGAGCTTGGCATGTCCTGTGTCTGATTTACTACTTTTCTTTCTTTCAATCACACTGCTGCAGTGCTCCCTTCTAACTTCTTCCTTCCTACATGCCAGAAATTGTACCTTCATCCTTGCGCCTAGCAGCCCACTGTTTCAGTTGCTACAGGCAACAAACAACAATGGTCATGTGTTCAAGTTCATCAATAAAGCCTAATATTAATAATTATTATACGGGTTTAACGTCCCAGAACCATCATATGATTACGAGAGGTGCCGTAGCGGAGTGCTCCAGAAATTTTGACCCCCTGGAGTTCTTCATCATCATCATCATCAGCCTGACTACGTCCACTGCAGGACAAAGGCCTCTCCCAGTGTTTCGCCAGTTAACCCGGTCCTGTGCTTGCTGCTGCCAACTTATACCCACTAACTTCTTAATCTCATCTGCCCACCTAACCTTCTGTCTCCCCCTATTCCGCTTCCCTTCTCTGGGAATCCAGTTAGTTACCCTTAATGACCAGCGGTTATCCTGTCTACGCACTACATGCCCGGTCCATGTCCATTTCCTCTTTTTTATTTCAACTATGATATCCTTAACCCTCGTTTGTCCCCTAATCCACTCTGCTCTCTTCTTGTCTCTTAAGGTTACACCTACCATTTTTCTTTCCATTGCTCGCTGCGTCGTCCTCAATTTAAGCTGAACGCTCTTTGTAAGTCTCCAGGTTTCTGCTCAATGCGCACCCAATTGTAAGCACACATGCGTTAAGCATTTTGCCTCCATCGAAAATGCAGCCGCCGAGGCCGTGATTTTATCCCAAAACCCGAGTGTCAGCAGCCGAGTGCCTTAGCCACTAGACCACCATGGGGGGGGTCCTCAATAAAGGATGAGGTTGCGATGTCAGGTGCAACTTATCGCCAATGAACCCTTGATCGAGACAGCATCCCTCAATAAAAGACAATGCGTGTGAATATGCACGCACCGGTGCGCCTTAGAGGGCGGGACTTTTTCGCACTAAGCAGTGCTGGGTTTTTTCGCATACAAAGCCACAATGAATGGGAAATTGGCAAAGTAACTCTGTTTTGGCCATATAGAGTATGATCACAACATAGCCATTGCACACTTAGTGCAAGAAAAGCTATGTTAATGGCTTCTTGTAGTCCATTTAGGGTACTCAAGTTGAACATACTTGGTGAAGATGAAAGGAATGAGGTGGCCGATGTGAAGCGCATCGGACGACGGTCCCCTCCCGGTGTAGAGGTAGAATGGCTTCTTTTGCTCGTGAGCGTTTAGAATCTCATTTAGCTCCCTGTAAAGAGAGAAAAAATATAACCCATCTGAAGGAAACTTCCTACGAGAAAAAAGTGAATGTTTATGCACAAGACATGCTTTTTTCAAATTCAACAGAATGAATAACAGTAAAATAGTAAAACAGCGTGTCTTGACATATGCCATGTGCTTTTAATTAATTTTGCGGAGCTTTGAACAATGCATGTGCCTTGGTGCTATCCTAGCTTTTTCTGTTGTGCTTAAACGAAACATGCTCTCTCTAATGCGGTCTACAAGAAGTTTAAATGGAAAGAGTTGAACATTTTTTTATGAAAGTACTCTGGCACTAGTAATTTTTTTTTTTTGGAAAATGAATATTGGTGGCACTGTCTGCCTATATCTGGGAATTTCCCTTTATGAGAACCCTTGGATGTAACAGACAAACCAGGCATGGCACCTTGGTTTGTTATTAGTGCTTGCTGAATGTGACATATCAAGCTTAGTCAACTTCACTACTCTTTTTCTAAACCGCCAGATTAATGTTAGCAATCAACGGTCGATCAGCGTGGTATGTGAAGGAGTAAACATGACGCGTCGTTAATAAGCTATATTAATGCACTAAAAACATCATAACTAACTGCTGAAGCCATTTTCACACTGCCAGTGTAAAATTGACTCGCAATAGTCGCAAGTGCATCATGCGCAAAGGCACGTTGTAACCACGTACCTGTGCGAAAAGAAAACACCTCTTCGAAGAAAATGGTGCGCTTTTTTCCCCGTAAGGTTTTCGATCCTGTCAACGAGCTCTTGCGTCACCTTCGATGAGCCGAACTTCACTGAAACAGAAGGCGCACGCAGTGATTTGTACGCAAGTACACTGCTGTTACGTTAGACCATAAGTCACGGTGCGATGTAAACACGCAAATATGCTGCCACGTCAGATTTTTGCGAGAGTACTCGCGGTGCGACGTGCCCACGCTAAAATTGGTGATTATACAGGCAAATGGGCTATTACGTCAGATCATAGTTTATGGTGGAATGCACACGAATATTGATACAAACGCTATTAAGTCTAGAACACAGTGCGATGTCGGTAGTTTTGGCTGATAGCACGGTAGATAACTACGAATTCTGAATCTGCTAGCTACGCAACGTAACCGGACAAGCTGTAGCTCACGCTGGCGTAAGGTGATCGAATCCACAAGTACCAACAAACAACTCGATCGGTGCGATCTCAGTAATCTTGGCTGAAACCACATTCGATAACAAGCAATTCTCAATGCGCTCGCTGGGATTCTATCCCAAAACCTGAGTGTCGGCAGCCGAGTGCCTTAGCCACGTAGCCTCATAACACGCGTAAAGTCAGCGGATCTTCCAGACTAGACAGAGTAAGCTCACCGATCAGCTTGTCGTAGTCGATTCCGGTGGCCGACGCGCTCACCACGTTCCACGGATTAACCACGTCTTCATCGGCGTTGGCCTCGGCCTGATCGCCGCAATCGCTCACAGAAAGCCGGGTCATTTCTTCAACACACGCCGACATCGGTAAATCTCGCGGGCGATACACTTCACCAATTCAGGCTCTCCTCGAAGGAATCTCGCACGAGCGCACACAAAACCGCGATGAAAGCTTCCACGTTCAATTCAGACCACGTTCACCGCCGTAATTCAGTGACCGCAAACCGTAGCCGCAGCAGCCGTATTCCAACCGATTATTATTGTAACTTTGGCGTAGAGAGATGAAGGGGCAGGAGAGACACAGGTGTTGAAGTACGAACGTCGCCAGCGCCGATGGACGGACAAAATTTGAAGCTGTCGCTTTAGGTTTCACGGAGAAAGTTTAGGTTTCGGGCACGCACTCATTCACCAGAATGTTTTGCCGCTTGTTAAGATTTGCACACTTAATTTGAGGCGTGTGAAAGCTAATTATCAGCGCACGGGACACCCAGAACGAGACAACGAGATGACAAGGCCGTCTTAGAAAGACTAGAAATCGAAAAGAAAGTGAAGGGGGCAATTCGAAAATAACGCGCACTAGATGTCTCTACCATCCCCCCTTCGAGCCGTCTGATCGCACGATCGCACTGGATAGTGGGTAGTGAGGGTAGAGGAAAATTCGTCGTGTTTCATTCCCGGGCGGTACTTCGGGGCTCGGATTAATCGTGCCTGCAAGCAAGTACGCCAGCCACCGCCAAACATGGTGAGTTGAAGTTACACCCCGCGTTTTCTTTCTTTTTTGAAGCCGCACGCACGGATAGAGGGGTTCGGTGCGTGCACGGAGCTGCAGCAACATCCCCCGCTGCCCAGTACTGCAGCACCTCAACGCTGCGGAGTTTGTAGCCGTAGTCCCTTCTTCCTACCTCCTTCAATGGCTCGCGGGGGATTACACACGCCCTTGCGACACGATCGCCGCTCGTTCGTCGTTACGTGTCCTTCAAGGCGCATTTTTAAACGTCCCCCTAGGCCTAAGGATATTGGAATTTCCGGGACTGCGGCAAGCAAGCGGGCAGCCTTCTTTCTCTCTTTTTTTTTTTGCCTCCCCTCCCCTAAAAAATGTGAGAATTTTGGCAACAAGCGTGCTATCGCGACTCTGCACTGTGCGCAGTACTGCGATACCACTTCCATCCAAACTTGTTTAGCCTGGTATTTTAGTCGCTTTCGCTTTTGCTCGCCTCTCACTGATGAGGGCGGCACTCGAAATCAGATAGCGAAAAAAAAAAAACCCTTCGCTTTCGTGATTTTCACGAATCTAGAGTTCCGTTACATGAATCCGTCCGTGTAAAAGGCGGAGGGAATCCTTTTAGCGTCGTTTTGTTTCTCTATTTACACTTTAAACCGCACGCTGCACGCATTCTGAGGCGTTGGACGCGACCTTCGTAGCGAATGTGATCACCGCGATGAAACCTACGATAAGGAAAAGAAAACGGGAAAACATTGTGGGCATCGTCTGTCGCTTCGTCTTGCGTAAAAAACGCGACGTGCAATCGCTGCGCCACACGCGCAGCTACGGTGTACTGGCGCGTGTTTGGAGCGCATCTCAGTTGCACTGCTAGCTGTTTTGCGTGGGCGCGCCTTCGCCAAATAGTTGCATGCCTTCAGTCAGATTCACCAGACGTCGTAAAGCACTTCGTTCCAGCGTCCATGCTTGGGTTCGTTTTATGGTGTAGTGAAACGCATGGTTACGTGTGATTCTTGGCTGTAAAAGGCATCCGTCGTATTATTTTACCGGGTGGCACTTGGGGCTAAACCGATTTCGACATCCTTCCCTACTTTACTATAAACTTGTGGTTTGTTGGCGGCGTTCGATTCGAACTTGGCTGCACTTTCGTTGTTATTGTTTTCGTCGCATTTCGCGCTCTGCGAAGCGTGACTGTGTTTTTGTCCGCTACGCGCCAGTGATCGCTGAGCACCGTGACAATGTCCCGTAGTGTTTTTACCTTTGCGAAGCCGTGGCCGCACTTGCTGAAACGAAACTGTGCTTCGCTTTTTAAACGCCCCTACCTCCCTCGACCGCCGACACGAAAGTCGCTGGATCGAATCCCGGCCCCATTGCGATGGAGGCGAAGTGCTAAATGCCCCTGTAATTAAAGGTGCACGTTAAAGAACACCAGGTGGTTGCAAATGTCAGCCATCCACAAGGACGTCTTTCATTATCATGACCTGGTTTTCCTAACGTGAAAACCTTACAATTATTATTAGCCTTACCTGCCCAAAGATTGCCCCACTGTTCGCGTTATAGTTGCAGATGACCGATCCGAAACCAACCTGTTACTGAGATAGCTGATTTTTTAACTACCAGCTTGGTCCTTCAGCCATTATATGTTGTCTGTAAACAAGTCAATAATCATCAACACATGCTTGCATTGCTTGTGCGACTGCTGCAGTATTCTTTACTACCCATACACTTTTGCCCTGATAGCAATAGGGATTTTTCGAACAGGGGCCCCAAAGGTCTTTGTGTAGGCACACTTTGGGTCAAGCGGAAGCGAAGAGTTTTTGAATAGGGCCTGCAGTACTTTGTATACTCACCCAAGTCTTGGTCATGTCACTTCAGCGGGTGCCATCACGTTTGTCTGGCGCAACGCTTTTTGGGCAGGCTTTGGGGTTCCCGCTAAATTCGAGAAATGGCGTCCCCAACCCAAAACCCAAACGTGGTTTGGGTTTTCCACATGCGTAGTGACTTTGATGCTATTTCTTTGGGGCCTCTATCGGAAAACTTTCTAATATAATACATTGATGAGAGGCTAACTTAAACTGTTATTTTCAGCTTGCCGGTGTAAGTGTATGAGTTTCAGATTCATTGTTTGGTATGTTGACAACTTGAGCTCATTCACTCCTCATTGCATATGCATCTATTTTAATAACTACTGCAAAGCTGTGCGTGTTATTGTATAAGCCATTTTATTTTCGAATCATGGGTGTCGTCTTTTTGTGCTGATAAATGTTTTGTCGGTTTTCTATGTCGTCATATAAAGTTATCACAGTCATGAAATGTTGGACCTGCTGTCCAAACCGTACTTGTGCATGCAGGTTCACTATAATCACTGTTTATTTGACATGGCCACGAAACTGCAACATTGTTGTCCCAAATTCGCCTAACTTGGAACATGTTTAGAGACCTGTCTATTGTCAGGTACACCTTAAAAAGCCTGCACAGACCTGCCACGGCAGTCTATTGGCTAAGGCACTCTTTGTCATCATTTATTTTTTTTTCTTAAAGGCCCCTGTTGTGGTATTACATAAAGGGGGTGAAGGTAACATAGAAAGTTAGACATGTAACTTATCAGGTCTCAAATTTTCAACACGATTCTCGGAGAAATGGAATACTTGCTTAGATGCAAAAAAAAAGTACATAACAACAGTATCTAACTTGGCTGCTAACCCGCAGGATCGAATCACGGCCGTGGCAGCCGCATTTTCGATAAAGGCAAAAATGCTTGAAGCTCGTAGACTTAGATTTAGGTGCACGCTAAGGAAAAACCAGATGGTTGAAATTTCTGGAGCCCTTCACTGTGGCGTCTCTCATAATCGTATGGTGGTTCTGGGACATTAAACACGAACAGTTTTTAAGAAGCCTGCACAGTGCATGTCCTGTCGGGATTTAGTCTTTTGTATTTGTTCTAGCGCTGCCCTCTTTTCATTTAATTATCTTAGAGTGGCATCAGACTGTAGACAAATGAAACATGAACGTTTGGTTGTGTGGCTGATATCACAGTCGGAGTAATGTGGTGGGCAAGCTCAGTTTTGGTGCCGAGTGCGTGTCCCGCTGTAATGTATAGTCAGCCACCAAAGCTTTTAGGATCTGCAAGTGCTATCACCATCACGTGGTGTAGCAATGCAGTATTTAGTCGCTTTGCCGCAGCGCTGCAGATTCGGCAAGCTTTTGCGGCCGGCTGTACCTAACTGTCGCTTCCTGTGTACTAGTTTTGGGCACGCTGCTTCTGAAGGGCTGCTAACATTGCCGCCACGTACAGAGTCATCCGCACTAAAGAATTGCAGAGGGATTCCAATCCCTCCGCAACCTGCATTGACACGACAGTGGAGAATTCAGTGTTACAAGCGAGGCTTTTGGCATTGCACCCCGAGGGTCCCAACTGCGATTTGGGCTTCCGTCGTTTCACGAATCGCTCCGCGCGGACAGAGGCGGGAATGGGTGACTTACGGTGACGTGGTCCATGATCCCTGAGGTCGAATCATGATTTTGTCAGTTGAATACAACTTCAGGTGCATGCCTGATTCGTATTCAAGCCCCCTCTTAGAAGCCTATGTTTAATATATACTTTGGAAAAATTTTATTTGTTGATGCTACGATTGTGGCGTAGAGTGATTTTTTTACTGAAAAAGAAGAAATGCTCCAGTTTGATCAGCCCCAATATAATATGGTGTTCACCTAAGGAATGGTTGACCTCGCACTTATGTAGCTGAACGCTAAAAGAGCCATAGGTGATCAAAATTAATCCACAGTCCTAGACTACAATGATTCATACTCATGGTTTTCTAGTATTTCATTTCAATACGGTAGTTTTACTTTGTTTTCTTTTATATAATGAGTGCAAATGACAGCATTGCACTTTTTTGTAATCATGTAGTTGCACCAGGTACGATAGATTGATATTCCTACTTAGTGGATAAGGCTTAAGTAACAGCTAACTTTGAATTCAGAGGTTTGTTCTAGCACTGTTACTAATCAGAAAGCTAATTTCTAGAAATAGCCAGCAGTCCTGCTGATGATCGCTGTATGACAAAGCTTTCAATCCCATCATGGCTCCGCATCTAGCTAAGTAAATTCTTTTCTACAGCTGTCTGTTAGCGGCCGGATAAAAACGAGTGATGTCCGAATCAAACACACTTTTTTGAAATTCGTGTCAAGTGTCGTGCTTTATCAAAAGGATGCCTTAAACCAAACAGCGGTGTGCATAGTTTCTGTTTACTTTCAATCTTTGAAGTGCTCAGTTTATATAACATCATGCAGCTCGCAAGTTCATTCCCACAAAAATTTGATGCTCTCTTGTGTCAATTTTCACACTGTAGGGACACACTGAATGGCAAATTTATAAATGAAGTACATAAATGAATAATTTATTTAATATAACGGGCTGATTAAGAGGTCAGTATGCTTACGATATGGTGGTGAACCAAACCTATGCATGCAGGTTTTATGTTCGTATCTTTGTGTGTGTGCGTGTGTGTGTGTGTGTGTCTGTATGTGCGTGTGTCAGAAAAGTCTTTAGGGACAAGGTCCTGTGGCAAACCACCACAGAGTGAATTGTTTGCCTACCTCTATTTTGCGAGAACCCAGCTCATTCTGTTGTCACTGAATTTTAGGTTGTTTCTTTAGGCCAGATCAGATTTCTTTGAAGACAGACATTACATTCTAAATGAGCAAAGAACTAAGTTCCAGCGTCTTTCTCTGGGCCATCACATCCAAAAACCCAAAACTTGCACACGTTAAAATCCTGAGTACTGCGTTACTGCTATGGTGTTCTGTTGCAAAATGCAAACAACACCTCAAAGTTTATAGTTCCTTCTTTTGTAGTGAACAGCGTACAGTAATTGTGCAGCATAGTAGTGCAAAGATTTTGTTAGTCTGAGCGTGGTAAGCTCTTTTTAAGATTAAGAAGATGCGACAGACAAAGACAAGGGCTTGTCTTTATCCGTTGCATTTTCTTACGGCGTGCTTGGTATATCTCCTCGAGGCGC